TTTCCCTACTGCTCTAATTCTCCACAGCCCCATGTGGGGGCAGGACAAGGTTCTGTTCCAGGTCCCTTTCACAGCTCTGGCAGTCAGCTCCTTTCCCCTCGTCCCCACGTCTTATCTGGAGTCAAACATTAGATTAATGACACCACTGAATTTATGTTTCAATTAAAGTGTTGGAAAACTTGAAATTGGACTGTATTTCTTTTTCAAACAGACTCTGCAAAGAGTGTTTCTGACACTGCAGGCTGGTTCTCTTGCAGTGCACAATCCTTTCACAGTGTGAGATTCCAGAGGAGAGTGTGCAGCTAGTTCCTCCAAGACAATGCTGCCAGACAGCCGTGCAGCCGGATCTCTTCCCAAACAAACTCCCGTGCAAGGAAAACTGCACTGTCTTGCAGATGTTTTATCACCACCACGATTTGCTCAAAGCCAGTCAGCAGTAACTTTGAAACCTTACTGCACCCACACGGATAATCTTGCCATTAGCATTCGGTTTGACTCATGAGCCTCCTGAACTAAATCCTTCACCAGTGAATCTGAGCTTTGTCACAACCATAAGTCACAGCTCAATCTGTGACACGTCTCTGCGTTAAACTTTGAGCAGTTCCACACTGCATTGGCCCAAGAAGCTATTTGATAGCAGTGTCTGACATCACCACCTTAAATTCATAGAATCATAGGATTTTAGGCATTGGAATGGACCTTTTAGATCATCTAGTCCCAACCCCTTGCCATGGGCAGGGACACAAATTCCTGAGATGTGGAAGAGCTGCTTCAGCATGCAAAACTGTCTAGGATTTTTTTCTATGTGACCACTTGTTAATTGTGATTTAGGCTCCTGAGCCAATACCTAGCAGAACAGCCCATCCCACCTGCTGCAACTCTCTCTGCTCACACCAGGCAGTTTTCCACTCTCCTTTCCACACCTGCTTCGAAGACACAGCTCCTCGCACAGCCTGATTTTTTCCCTTTCCACAGGCACTGGCTTTTACCAAGCTCTAACATGATAAAAGGGGCATTTAATTCTGTTCTTGTTAAGTGCAATCTCTGAACATTTCCCTGTAGTAACAGGCTTGAGCTGTGCCTGTGCTCCGAAGTAGAAGATGGATTTACCCTTCAAAAGCTTCTGTGGGAAAGTGGGGGAGCAGTACACCACGCAGTTACCTATTTAACAGCTGCCAAAAGAGCAGATCCCATCTTAGCTCTTGTACCAGCACTCACTGCCTGGAACAAGCCAGAACAAGGAGGGAGGGAAAGCTATTCCTCCCCCATAAGGACAGCTTGCTATTTCAGCTGCCTGCTGATCAGTTAGATCAGTTTGAATGTACTGCTGAACTGCACTCAACACGAAACAGAAAGCTCTGCTGGGCCACCTGACAGAGGAAAAATGGGAAAACCTTCAGGTTCCTGAGTGGAGCAGCATCCAGCTGCGTTGGGACATTTCCTGAGGTGCAGAGACAACATGTTCTCATGCTTCCAGAGCCTGTTTGGTCTGCCACTTCATTTTCCAGTAAGTTCATTACAGGTAATTTAAGCTTCCAACAAATTAATGTTGAACTCCCCATTTTCAGCAGTAGATCAAGAACTTCTCTCTGCACTCAGGCTCCTCTGCTCACCTTATACAGAAACTGGTGAGTCTACTCTGGCTAATCAAAGCAGCACAGGAAGGTGGTGAGAGGTTTCATTCCAGGCTTAGAAGAAGTGCCTGTAGTGTGTTTCTGCAGCACCAATCAGCCAGAGCCATTTCAACAAGAAAAAACACGTCCAACAACCCTGTTTCAGACTTGCTCCATCCAGGTTTCCTGCTTTCCTTGCCTTTTGGCTCACTGCCCCACAAATCAAATCACTATGGTCACCAGTCTTAAAAATAAACACTAATGCCTACCTTTATAAAGTACATCCTCTAAGTGCTTTATCAACTTTTTTAGACTCCCAACTTCTGTATTAAAGCAACTCCCCTAAGGAGAATTCCAACTGTTTGGCAAAATTTAAATCCCTGTACATAAAGGCTGAGACTAAGAAACTAAAATAACACCAAGATTAGTCATAAGATTTCTAGCAACTACTTAATCACAGCTCTGTCCACCCACTATTACATAAATGAAACTAGTAACATTTGACTGTCATTAAAAATGTGGCCTACAGAAATCCAACATTTTAACCACCTTAACGACAGAGCACCGAGTCTCTTTCTGCTTCTGGGTACCACCCAGGAATCATTGTATTTACAGAACCACATGTGCATTAGCTGCTGAAAACAAAGCATATCTTCTCTTTCCTGCCCTTATATATATTAACAAGCTTTATGAAACTTGCCCACTGTACTGGGGCTGCTCAGAGCTGTTTTACCTGCACACAGTGACAGCCTTCATAAAAACCTGTCTGTGTCACTCCTTTCTTTCTCTGATTCACATGACCTGTCTCTCTGGCAGACATGATGCACAACAGCCCAGGTGTCCACTCAAACATTCAAAGGTAGCTGAGATTTCTCCAGCACCTCCCTGGGATCAAAAGTTCAGCATTTTTGCTGCAGTGGGTTTAGCTCCACACAGCTCAGCCGTGAGCTGTTACTCACTGGGACACACCCTCTCCCAAACAGCCTCTTCAGTGCTTCCAACACTGCTACAGACTTTTTTAACTCCAAGAAGTTCAGTAACAAAAGTTCCTAACTTCCAAGTCACTGCACTCTACAGACAGCACTGGAGGGACCTGAAGTGCTCAGGATCTCACACACTGCACTGCACTCACCCTCCACCCCCTGCCCTTCTGTACAACCATCAAATCATACACTGAACGGCTTGAGTCGATAAGGCCCCAGATTCAGCAGAATTCCAAATAAGGGACTCTTAAAACGCTGCTCTTACAGTATTTCTACAATTTAAAAATGCCTACAAAAGCACGAGGTGTGACCACTCCTGTGGCATCTAGTAACTGGTCATTTCTCCAAGAGGCAGAACTTCTCCTAACACAACACCATCCCTGGAGGTTTCATACCACTCAGCAGCTGCCTTTCCAGAGTGAAAACAAAAGCTGCTAAAAATAACTTCCACCAATGCTTTTTCTCAAGTGTCAAACAGCAGCAATTCCTGCAGTTACTCAAGCGGCTGCTCTTCATCTGTCCTGCACATTCCTACTGCTCCCTATCACCAGCAACTCAAAGCAACAGTTGCCATTTATTTTCTCCCAAACAATCCTGACAGTGAAGGGAAAAACAGGACAGCACAACTAGCACACATGCCACTAGTCAAAACTCTCAGATGACACAAAAGTTAATGTATGAGAACAGCCACTCATTAACAAATTAAGAATAATCACAAGCACTTCTAGAGCTTTATTTATTTTGTTCCCAGCAGATCTTTGCAGAGGGTACACAAAACAATACCCGCGTTCTATATTATATAAGCAAATCTTTAACTTGCATTGTTTTACAGGAACACTAAAGCTTTGGCCTTATCTAAGCCAAACATTACACATTTCCTAGAATACCTGCAATGCTGCAGCTCTTGAAGAAGCAACAGCACAAAGAAACACAAACAGTTAAGTGGTTTTACAAAACACTGAACAGAGAATGGTACAAAGCTACCAAAAATGAGCAACAGTACCTCAATGGAACCTTAAGAGGTTTGTTTCTAACTGAGGAGGAAGGAAAGCAAATTAAAGGACTGTGTTTCGTTCACACATGTACAAAACTCAGACAGAATGACACCACTTTCATTCCCAAGACAAAGAACACATTGGGAAGTGGGATGGTTCACACAGCAAACAACCAAAAGGACTGTTTTGTTGAATGAGTTACTGGACATTATACGGTTTGTGCTGAGCTCTCAAATCCAGCAGAGGAAGTACACTGAACTTCTTCCCCACCCAAACATGATGCATCACATTTATTTGCAGCACTGCAAATACAGAGTTCGGTTGAATTTTAAAAAAAATCCATAGCAGAAAAGCAAATTTGTTGGGTTTAAAACCAACCTAACCAACGGAGCAGTCCATATTATCCTATCTAGCATCACAGAATTATGCTACTATGAAAAGTCTTCGTTTCTCAAGAAACCACTTTCACGTCTATGTTGCTCCAAATCTTACACAGGAAGTCAAAGCAAATTTGTCACACGGTAGATTTATCTTTCAACCACCCTTACCTGCCTTTTTAGAGATTCCACAGCATTAAAAACAAATCAACAAAAAACCTCCACACAAATGACTAAGCCTGAGCCACCACATGAAATCACAGACCCCTGCAGCAAGTCCAGTCAGCTACACTCCACTCCTCTGTTATCTACACCAGTTTGCTGTGATACCAATTATGCTCAGCCTACACTGGGATTTTTGTTTCTCCTGAGGGGAAAAAAAACCCCCTCTCAAACTGCATAAGACAAG